TAGAGTTCTACAAATAATACCAATATAAAATGTTGATGGATTTTTAAACTTGAATACATGTACACTAATTTGTTTTAATTCATAACTAATTATTAAAAGAATAAAATAAACGGAAACATATTTCAATAAACAAAAACTTCAATAGGTTTGCAGGGCAATTAGAGCGTGCAGAAAAATGGGGCAATAAAACCGAATGTCCCAGGCATCCATATGTTTTTTGGGGGGATCCAATCAAAGAGGGTAATAAAATTTTAGTTTTTGACATTTTAAATTGTCTCTGTTAACTTCGTTGTGTAAGCGTCCTACAGTCCTACAAACTGGTGTGAATGTGAATCCGTTCTTTCATAAACGAGACCAGAGTACCCCCCACCGACACACCCTACTTGAATCTTAGGGGCATACCATCAAAGAGTTGACCCTGGGCATCACCAAACCTCTACACCTCACTGTTTCAGTGCATTGTAATTCAATAAAGAAGTTCAATAAAAGACCAGGGTATTTAAAATCGAGTTTATTCTGATGAAGAATGTAGTCAAGAAGAAAGTTATGAAATAGTAAAAGATACCCCCAATTCCTCCATATGAACCCCCCCACACACACACATTCTTCGGGGAATCCGCTCTGGTTGATAACCCCTAATCTAAATATAGTTTCTAAGAACCGTGTGGGTTTGAGTGTTGTTGAATTAGAAACACGGGCTGTTTATTTCCTGCTAGAAGGTCAGAATTTATTGCAAAAATGGCGAACTCAAATAGAGTCCAACCGAATATGTAAATAAACAAACAAACAAAATATATATATATATATATATATATATATATATATATATATATATATATATATATATATATATATATATATATATATATATATATATATATATATATATATATATATATATATATATATATATATATATATATATATATATATATATATATATATATATATATATATATATATAGTAGCGTCCAAAACTAAGGGACAAAATTTTAAAACCTAATATTTGTTAGAAATAACAACTGTGAAAAGCTGAAATTTTGACAACTGGTAGTCGTTATCATCCATAATAACATACTAAAATTTGAATCATTTGCAAAGGATAGAAAAAGAATTATAACAATTATTTATTTATTTTCAAATTAGGAACGTCCAAAAGTAAGGGACAAAATTGAGAAAAACAATGTAAACGGTAAAAAAAAAACAATAAAAATACATGTACAATCAATATTTAGTAAATGAGCCCTTGCTCTCAATGACAGCTGCACATCTTCGACTACAAGAACGAATCAGTTCTTGACAATCCTCGATACTAATTTTAGACCATTCTTCTTGAAGCTTCACCCACAAATCCTCCGTGTTAGTGGGATTTCTTTCCATAACTTTAACTCCTAAGGTCTTCCAAAGATTTTCTATTGGATTTAAGTCAGGACTTTGCGGTGGCCAATCCATAATTTCCAAATCTTGCTCGCTAAGGTAACTCATTACCACCTTTGCCTTGTGACATGGGGCATTATCTTGCATAAAGGTAGCCCTATCGAAACCTGAATTCTGTATGATTGGCACAACATGATCTTGAACAATGTTTTTTATAGATCTGCGCGTTTACACGAGTTTGTAACCGGACAAGAGGCGTTGTACCTTGGCTAGAAAACATTCCAAATACCATGACGCTTCCGCCCCCAAACTTGACAGTTTTCTTAGTACAATTTGCACTTAATCTTTCACCAATACGTCTCTTTACATTGTTTTTTCCATCATTTCCAAATAAATTAAACTTGCTTTCATGATGGAAAAAAAATACTTTTTGCCCAATTTTCATATGTCCAAATTACATACCTGTTTGCAAACTCTAATCTCTTCTTCTTATTCTTCGAACTAACAAGTGGTTTCTTCCCTGGGGTTCGATTAAACAGCCCCATTTCTTGCAGTCGTCTAAAAACAGTCTGTCTTGACACATTAACACATGAGGTACTATTCATAACCCTTTTAATTTCTGTGCAAGACTTAAAACGGTCCTTTAATGACATACGCTGCATTATTCGATCTTCTCTTGCCGAAGTTTTGTGGGATCTGCCGGTTTTAAAAGCACTAACTATTTTGCCAGTATCATTGTAGGATTTAACAACCCTGCCTACAACACTCTTGGAACGTTTCACTTTCTCTGAAAATCTCTAATGGTGTGCTTTTCCTTGTGTAGCTTCACAATAGCTTGTCTCACAGAGTAATCAAGTTTTTGGCGTTTCGCCATGGTGCCGGCTGATGCAACGTTTACAAATGACTAAGTAAGACTTATTCTTTAGAGGAAAAAAAAAAAAATTTGAATATAGCATACTGTTTACATTGTTTTTTTCTCAATTTTGTCCATTACTTGAACACAATCCAATTTTGAAAATAAATAAATAATTGTTATAATTGGAAAGGATATCATATTTGCAAATGATTCAAATTTTAGTATGTTATTATGGATGATAACGACTATGAACCAGTTGATCCAAAACATCAGCAAACAATCGAAAAGTTGTGGCGAAACGCCAAAATGAAGGAATAATTTTTTGTTCCGGGCCCATAGTTTTGGATAGACTATTATTATTATAGTTCCTTTGGATACGTATAGCAAAAAAAAAATAAAATTTTATAGGACATTTCTGAATTTTTGGTGCGAATTTTAGTAAATATAAATTCTTTTTATTTTGGGGGTGAATTAACAGAAACCTATAGTGGGTTATCAGTTATAGTGAAGTGTATGAGTATTGAAACAGATTAGTTTGATTTGGCCTTGTTAGTTAGATAGCCCACCATAAGAGGGGTATAAAACAAGAAAATCAAATTATAAAGTGAAACAACAAATTTATATACATATAAATCAATTAAGGTCTCTACAAATAAAATTAATGCATTTTGGTTGATACAAAATGTTCGTAGTAGTCCTTGCAAGAATGAGTTTATGTGTACGTAGGCAGGAACGTATGTGTGTATGTATGTATGTATGTATGAGCGTTATCGTAGGGTAGGAATGTCTTTTTGAAATTGCTCAGTCTTAAATGTTCCGTTTGTTTATCAAGTATTTTTTTTTTCCAAGAGATAATAATAACGATCGCTTGACGTTTGTCAAGGGACGTGTTAATACAATCGTCTCCTAATCTCTGGTGACAGGCGAACTTGCCCGAATTTTTATTTTTGTTTGTCTTTGAAAAAGCTCATTTGGGAATTCACTCCCGGATATGATTTGGGCCTTTCCATTGAACGACGAACAAAACTTCTGCGTCGGCTCGCGAAAAGGTCTGTAAAAGAATTTGTTTCTGAGAATTGAAGGTTATTTAAATTTTGTTTTTAAATGCTTCCTAGTTTTCTATTGTCCGAAAAACATTTCGCATCAAGGTGTGAAATTTCACGAGTTTTGTTTTGGATTCGCTTTTGCGTGTGTGTTAAGCAAAGTTTGTAAATTCGAGTCTTTTTATATTCTAACAAAATCAATGAGTCATTGCTTAGCATTTGAATTTTAAATTTAGATCTTATTTTGTTCACTACAAACCATCCAAATACCAATATAAAGTTATATAAATAAAAAATGTATAATAAAATTAAGCCTGAAATTATTCACAAGCCCACAGAATTAGTGATTTATTTTCATTCAAGGAAATCTATTTTTCTGACACAACTTGACACGAAATGAAAGAAATCAAATTAAAAGTTACCTATTTTAAATCTTATATTTTGTATTCGTCACGCACAAAGGGGAGGGTTTTATTCCGCATTTTTTATCTAAGGAAAATGCCGAGGAAGGCGTACTCTGTTGGGCCACATACGCTACAGCATAAGTGTGGGCCTCCCTCTTTAAAATTGACCTTGTTCCAGCTTCCATTCCAATCGGCGTGTGAATAAAACTAACACTACGGCTTAATAGTTAGTAAATTTTTTTTGCGGTGCTTGCCCATGGCGCCATAGTCAATAAGCTGAACTTTCAGTCCATTCTTAGTGAGTTCGATCCTCACCGGATGCCTCTTACTTGTGGTCATGTGCTCTAAGCTTCGACTGACTCGATTATGTATCTGTGCTCCTCGTCATAGTTAAAAAAATCACGTCCCGTAAATCACTTTCGAGAGATTGATCAACACTAGGTGCCTCATACTCGTGACCTTTTGCCATATCTAAGTCACGTTTAGTGAATAAATAAAAATCATGGCCTTGAATCTCGTTTGAATAGGTCGACGAAAAATATAATCCCCCATGTAGCAACTAGTTTTCATTGTCCAACAATGAAAACTGGTTAAAAACGTTGTTGTTGTTGTTACTGCCCGAATTGACTGGGCGAAGCTTCCTCCCCCGTGTATTTTTCTTCTTTTTTTTTACTGCCTACTATGTAGTACTATTCTCTCCAGGTGAGAGGGAAAGAGAATGTTCACCTGTCCTATTTACGCATGCGCACCTGTCTCAGGTGTGACAACTCCGGCGCTGACGGACAAGGACTACCTCAGCCATGTTGACTTCTTTTAACGACTAATTATTTTCTCCGGCCTACTAAAAAAAAGTTTGAAATACTACAGAGAGTAACTACACGCTGGGTTGATCTCTGAAAGCAAAGAATTTCGGAGTGAGGTGGGTGGAAAACTGATTGAATTTAAAATACATGTATTTTTTAAAAAGAATAAACAGTTATAAACTGTTGCATAAGTATATGTGTTTGTTTTTAAAGAAAAAGAAAACTGCAACTATAAGTTTAAAGGAAAGTAGTTTCCTTTTCTTGTGAAGTACTTTTAAAAGTGTTGGATCTTTACTATATTTTAAAAGAAATATTATCATCATGAATTCAAAAAAAGATGTTCATATGGATACGCTTATGGCGTACCATAACTATCTACAGGGTCGTATCAAAGAGAATTTGAATTCTTTATACCTCGGGCCTGGGAAATTTTATTTTGTTATTTCCATCATTCTCTTTATTGTCTCTCTAATTTGTATGATGGTCGGCATCTTGGTGATCACTTTACGGCATCGTCATGTCTACCTGGTTAACTTTGATTACAAGTTCGTCGGACCTGGATTCATCGTTCTTTTCATTCTGTGCCTGGGAGTTGGCTCGCACTTTTTGCTCCATGCTAAAAGGGTTACGAACAAATACAGAAGAAACCTCCGGGTAAGTAACCTAAATTTTTCTAACGCACCCTCGACCCAGCCGTTTATTTTCTCCATTTATTTAAGTACCCACCGCGAGATCTTGGATATACCGTTTTTAAGGAGGGGCGGGAAACAACGGATGAATATTAATAAATATATATATATATATATATAATTTTCACTTCCGCGTCAATGGATAAGGTCAGGAGGAAATAGCATTTTCTTTACTTAAATAAAAAGAAAAAATACGAAAACAAACTCTGTATTATAAAAAAACGGTATTGAAAAACAACTTTTTTTAATAAGCATTTTTACTGCTTGTAATTTGTAACCGAAGCAGGACTGTGAAAATTGTTTTTAGTGAACTCACTCCAATTCAAATATAACCTACTTTTACTTCTCAATAGATACCTACTACACCTCGTCCTAAACAAAGACTTTCTTATGAGTAAACTGAACTTTAAAAACTTGTTATACCCTTCATATCGATTTGTTTTTCCAGTGTTGTTTTGTTTTTTTTTTTAACAGAGAACAATCTTTTTAAGTCCCGAATAAATATATTTTATTTTATTTATTTTTCATGTGTTGATAATACTGTAGAAAAGTGCACCCGCGTACGCATGTTAAATTTAACATTACGTTTATCCTTAAACGTTACAAGTTTTATGATAATTTGTATATTTAAAAAAAAAAGAAAAAAATACTGAATATTTAAGATATCAAATATTCAATTCTAAATTCTATCATTGTGGAAAAAAAAACTAATACTGTGAAAACACTTGTTCACCTGTAAAAAACGCGTACGCGGGTCCATTTTTATAGAGTACTACCAATGTGTTTTGTTTGGAATGCATTTTTTAAATTTATTTTTTAAATTTAACGTCTCTGTCTTCCCTAAAATATATATTTCTGTGTACATTTATTTTAATAGGTTAAAAAAAAAAAAACATTTATTTATCAATTGCCCAGTTTTAATTTGGGCGGGGTGACTTTTGTTTTTTCTTTTTTTTTTTTTTTTTTTTTTTAACTATTCTCATAAATTCCGTTAAGCTAAGTGATTTGATTTTAATTTAATATCTTTTTTAATTTCTTTTGATTTGAACTACACTAAATATTAATTAATTAAATATTAGATAATTATTAAATTAAAATTAAATTAATTAATATCAAAGGCATGTAATTAAATAATTAATATTAATAATATTAATTAATAATAATTAAATTAACCAAAATCAACTTAAATTTAATTTTTTAATTTACTTTTTTTTTTAATTAGTCATCATAAGACCCGTTAACAAAATGCTTTTGGTTTTAATTTTTTTTTTTTTTTTTTTTTTTTTTTTAGATCGAATATACGTTTAAAAAAAAAAAAATTACCAAATGTTAATATTGGGATTGTCAATAAACAAACGTAACTTTATTTATAAATCACTTAATCGAAGGTGGTACTGAAGAAGGAAATAAAAGCACTCCCTCTCCTTCGGGTCAAGATCATGTGGAAAAACGGTCAAAAAAATATCGGCAAACGGAGTTCAAATCCAAGCTGAGAGTTTTTCATTTCATTCTAATTTCCGTAATCCATCACTTCTTTTTAAAAAGTACATTTGTTTTAGCTTCAATTAATCTGCAAAGGGTTAAGTCATAGAAAACGAATCAATCAATCAAGCAGCTATAGGTAAAATTGTCGGGTAGACTAGGCTCTCTAGGCTTGATAGTGCAGCCAATCAACAACAGGAAAGCTTACTAATATTAATGAGAAAGAAACCGGATCTGCCTCAAACAATTTGAGAGTGCCCACCTGATGGGCTCAGTCTGTTGCACTTTTGGTTCGATGTAGCAACCACTGAGCAGAAACCTTCATCATGCCATTTTTATTGCGCAAGAAACTGTGATTTTGGCATATCTCTTACACTAAACCAGATGTTGACTGCTCGACGACCCAAGATGCGAAAATGCATCTCTGCACATCATGGCTTGACGCTGTTTTTGGTATTAAATAAAAAAAAATAAAAAAATGATCTTTACATATTGGCTGGTAGAAATAACTGCCACTAAAAGACACAGACTGTGATTTGGAGCCGATACGACATATAAATTTTTTGATTCAACACCACAAAAGAGAGAGAGAGACCCGGCTGAGATGTTGACATACAGAGGTTGGTCAAGAACACCGCAGACAGGCTGAGACTGAATGCAATACTTTTCAACTTTCATCCTTTCGCTGCCACCGTCTTCACAAAACATCAGCCGACAGCCATGACCAATATTCTTTCTCTTTCTTTCTTCCTTCCTCATTCTGTTGCCTTTTAAAACAACAACGAGTAGTATGCTAGCTTTGTATATATGTAAATAAATACATTTATTTACCCAAAATATGATGTATATCTTTTTCCTCAAATTTACGTTTGCTGAGATGAAGAAATTAACCTCTTCAGCAGAAACAACAGCAGCGACAAGTTCTGCCTTCCGCGTTACTCATTCTATGTTTTAGCAACAAGGTTTATGATCTGTTTTTGATTAACAAGGGTAAGAAGTACAAGGATGACCAGATTGTTAAAACATAAATTGTTAAATGGAAATACATGAACCAAGGAAAATACATGAGTCAAGGATCGTGTTCTGCCACATTTAGAAAGAGATGTCACTGAAAAAGCACAACACAAGACAACACAAGAATGCAAGTGAGTACTAATCCCGGTCATGATATCAACCAATCAGCCGCCTGATTTACATCAAACATTTTGAGGCTATTATTGACAAGAAAGTTGTTGATTCCCTCAACAGAAACAGCCATCTCAGTGACAAATAGTATGGATTTTACTATTCTATGTTCACTGCTGATGTCTTAACTATCATTATGTATAGAATCAATACGGCGCTTGATAATAACCGCTAAAAAAAAGTACAGACTGTGATTTAGAACTGATATGACGGATATAAATTTCTTGATTCAACACCACAGAAGAGAGAGAGAGAGACCCTGCTGAGATGACTGAATGCAATACTTTTCAATTTTCATCCTTCACTGCCACCGTCTTCACAAAACATCATTTTTCTTTCTTTCTTTCTTTCTTTCTTCCCCACTCTGTCACCTCTTACAACAGCAATGTGTAGTAGTATGCTGGTTTTGTATATATGTAAATAAATTATACATTTATTTACCTAAAATATGCCGTATTCCTTTTTCTGTGAATTTATGTTTGCTGGGGTCAAGAAGAAATTAACCTCTTCATCAGAAACAACAACTGCAACAAGTTCTGCCTTCCAGGTTACTCATTCTCCGTTTCTGCAACAATTTGGATATTTTGAAAAAAATTATAAACGCAGTCAATTCAATTTTTCTGGCAATTCTATCATTTAGCAGTGTAAAAATGGAAATTAAATGAATCTCTATTAACAAAACAATTTATAAACGATACCATATTTAGCTACTTACAAGGCTGGACTGAAAAGTTTATAGGATGATGGTAAAGGAGTAATGCTAGAGCTGTGAATTCTTGCACACATTAATTTCAACTATTCTTATTAATAATGGCATTGTCTTTTTCCTTGTAAAATGACATCTAACTGTTCAAAAGTAACTCGTGATTTTAAAATAGACAAAAAGGATGCTGAGGATACCATGAACTGAAAATGTGAGCAATGACAAAATTTTGGGAGAAAATGGAAACAAAAAGGAAACTAATACTTAACATCAGGAAGAGACATTTGAGGTTTCTGGGGCACATAATGAGGAAGGAGGGCTTGGAAAATCTGATACTCACAGGACTGACAGAAGAAAACAATGTATCACATACTTAGTGACCTTGAGTAAATGGATGGTGCAACAGAGCTTAGGAGAAATAATGGAAATACAAAGTTTAAGAGCTACAAGGGAGAGGAATGTGTGGAGTGCCATGATCGCCTACGGGGAAACACAGCACAGGTCTTATCAAGTACCTGAAGAAAAAAGGCTTTAGCCTCCAAGGACATTTATGGTACATTAGGGGGTGACCCTCCAGCTTTATCAACAATGCAAAAATGAGACAGCTGTATTTTGGAGGAGAAGGAAAAGTCTTGAAAATAACCCAAGGTCTAGACGTCCTGCAACTGCTACCATCAAGGAAAACAGTGATTGTCTTTGCCTCATGGCGATGTATGGCATATCCTGTTAGAGAGCTAATATTCTGCACAATGATCTTGGAATGATGGTTTCTGCTGGGTGGGTGCCACGTCTTCTAACACTAACAAAAGTACAAGAAATCATGGAGAAATCTGACATTGTTTGAGGCAGATCCAGCTGGTTTCCTTGAATGCTTTCAAATCCAGAATGAGTGTTGGATTCAACACTTTGAAACAGAGATTTTAACCATACTGTGGAAATGCACTTCACCTTCTCCAGAGAAGTCCAAGGTCGTTTCATAAGCAGGGAAGGTGATAACTTAGGTTTTTGGGGATGCAAAAGGCATTGTTTATGGACTATATTCAAAAGGGCCACACAGTCAATGAAGAGTACTATGTCAATTTGCTGAGGCAGTTATAAAAGGCTATCAAAACCAAACACCCAGGAAAACTGATGAAAGGGGTCTTGTTTAATCTGGTTAAGGACTTTGCACATAAGTCCTTGGCTTCAATGGCTACTCTGGGTAACTGTTGCTTCAAACTGGTTGATCACTTTCTTTGTTCTCCTGATTTGACTATCATCTGTCCTCCAACATGAAAAAAAAACACCTGGCTAAGAACAAATATCACAATGATGATGACATCATATCTGCTGTCGACACTTTTTTTTTTTTTTTTTTTTGACCAACAGGATGTAAAGTCTTTGAACAGTCAGATGTCAGTTGACCTGGATATAAACAATGCAGTTATTAATAAGAACAGTTGAAATTAATGCATGCTATGTTTCACAGCTCTAGCATCATTCTTTCATAACCAGTTGAAGTTTTCAACTCACTCTCACATACGACACTCCAATGCATTCGATGCCCCCCCACACACACAAAAAAAGAAGGTTTTTAGGAAGAAATTAAAAATCAAAAAGTTTTCTTTGTACTTCATAGCCCTCTCCACTACCCCTGACTTTCATCTATGAAGTGGCATATTTCAGCGTGAAAACCTGACTAATTATGACAAATTTATCGCAGACCGAGAAGTACCAAATTTATAGTAACTATTTTTGAAAGTACTAATTAGAAGAGAATTTAGTGCCTAAAACTACCGAAAACTAATTTAGTACCATAAGTATGATTAGTTAAGCAAAAATACCCATTATGTGCATGCAAAAGCATAGTATGCAGTGATGTAATTCTTGAAGTATCTCCCATAAATGAAGCCATCCTGGGTAAAACGATAAACTACATCCAACAGCAAGGCTTCTGATCAGGAGGTTTTGAGGAACATGGAACCACCTCTTAATTGCTGGTGTTCCCCGGTCCACCCTGACCCGGGGTGGTAGCACCTGTTAGGGTCCCAACTATGGGCAAATAGTGAACTGCCAGTTTTTCCCATCATATATCCGTGTCCTGGTTATGGCGATAAACTACGTCTAAAAATAATGTTGCCATCTATATGTTTACTAGTACTATATATTTAATATATAATTTTGGCATTAAATGACCTACAGTGGTTGACATGCCATAAAACCAAACCAATTATAAATGAAGCTTCTTTTTGACAAGTAGTTTAAGAAATAAGGATGAAAGGGTATTACTCCAGCAGGAATTTCGTTTCCATTCAATATGCAATCCAGAGTATTAAGAAACGAAAAAAAAAAAACTTTGTTAGAAACAAAGAAAAAAGTACCAAACTGTTACATGATATCAGTTCTCCTATAGTGTATAGCCGTGAATGCTGGACATTCTCTTCAAAAATGAAGAGGAGTCTTGAAGCAACAGAAATGTGATTCTACAGAAGGATGCTACATTCTATAAATCAAAGATCAGTGACTGGTGTCATAAGTTTAGAGTGACCATCAGTTTCCCAGTTATGAACCCTTGAAAGTAAAACAAGTCCAGTGCTTCAAAATTAAACTAACCTTTTGAGAGAAGCTATTTATGTAGTTGGGATACTGTGTTCTCTATGTGCCCTTTCCCTTTAAGATACAGGGAATCATGGCTCTCCACAATTTCCCATCCTTTAAAACTCTTAATAAATTTTGTCATTTTGCTATCTCTCCTAAATTTTGTTCTACCATTCATTTATTCAAGCTTGCTAGCTAGGTTATGCATTGTTTTCTTCTCTCTTTCCTTCGATCTCTTTTGTGAGTATCAAATTTTCCTGATGTTAAATATGCCTTTTTTGTTTCCATTTTCTCTAAAACTTAGTCATTACTTGCATGTTCGGTTCATAGTATCATTAGCATCCTTCTGTAGAAACACATTTCTGTTGCCTCAAGTTTCTTCTTCATCTGGGAGGA